CTTTTAAGTTTTATATTAAATTAAAGTAATAATTAAAACATTTTATTTACCAACCAAATTAAAAGCTAGTTAAACTAAATAACATGACTCTTTGTCAAAAGTCAAGTGTTCGATACGTCCACCATTTTCTTTTAATCATTTGTCAATATTTTTCATAAAAATTCGTCTCATATTAAATAGCAGCACTGGTTCTAAAGAAACTGCTGCAGTATTTATTTCTTCCCATAGTTGCTTGCGAATGTTTATGGGATTCTTATAGACTCGTTGTTTTAATGCCTCTCATACACCGAAATCAAGAGGATTAAATTCTCGGCTACGTGGTGGCTATAGTGTATATTGAATTAATATATTATTTTGGATACATATCCAAATCTTATAGTTTATTATAAAACTACATCTTATTTGTCGCAGAGGTTGATTAATGTATTATACTGTGATGAATCTCATTTATTGATTACTTATTTACATACGGAATAACGTATCGATACATTACTTATTTATATGATTATGTTACAGCTTACGACTTACTATAATTACATCTCGAACAAATGGACTATTATGATTTATTAACGAACTAATATGCTGAACTAATTTACCTGGTGTGTGTTCGATGATATTGGCGGATTGTAAAATAGATAAGTCTTTAAGGTTAGATCTTTAGCAAAAGTATTATAAAACAAAACATATATCTGCTACTTAATATGTGCTGAAATGATAGCCATTCTTCAGCAGGTAGGTATTAATAATAAAGACCTACGCATTATTAAAAATCTTTACTGGCATCAACGTGCAAACATCAGGATTGGCCGGGACACTTCTGAAGAGCTTCAAATACGAAGAGGAGTAACGCTCCTTTCATATTACACGATTTCGCTCGTGCGGAAAAAAATTGCCCGGGCAATTTTTCTTGATCGACTGTTGAAGAGTACGAGACCTTTCACATTGCACGATTAGAACACGGGCACGTTTTGTAATCGTGTTGCAGCCGTCCAGTGCAACTAGAACCGCACGGCTACCGTATCGCCCTCTAGCTTAGTGGCCTACGTGACCAAATGCACGCTTTCACACTAGACGGTCTTTAGTCGTACGGGAACTGTCCCCAGTATTGTTTCTACCGCGTTCATTTTTGGTGGTTTGTTTGCAAATTATGGAAGGTGTTGACGCTGAAGTGTTAATATCCCTAGTTGAAGCAAAACCTGTGATATGGGACAAAACTTTAGAAATTATTTTATAAGGATAGAAATGCAACAAGGAAAGCCTGGGAAAAAGTATGTTTAGCACTCAATCCGGATTTAGAGAACAATGGCGATGGAGAAAAAAATGCATTTGGTAAGTACTATACCTACTAACTTTCTATTAAGCAAAGTAAACTTACTTTTTGGACGTATGTATATTGTATTTTTTATTGTATATTGGTATTGTATGTATTGTATACTTCACTTGATTTACTATCTACAACAGAGATACTTTTTATTTTTATTTCATTTATTTATTTATTTTCACATATATGACAAATTATACTTTAGACATTTGCCAGGATACACTTCCAAATTATGTCAAAATATATGAGGTAAGCACACTTCTGATATTGTTTGCTTCCAAGCCTCCTCGTGTAGTGCTTTCTCCTGACACATCTTCCAGGCCTGTGATCGTCGTTGTGTCCTCAACAAGATATTCGTCTCTGTCACGTACATAATTGTGCAATACGATGCACGCATTGACGATGAGCACTGCGAAATGTGGCTGAACGTTGATAGGGCGATGAAATATACGCCATTTATTGCTCAGGATGCCAAACGCACATTCCACATATTTTCGTGCTCTGCACAATCTATAATTAAAGACCCTTTTTTCAACTGTTAAGCGTTTCCCTCCAAAGGGTCTCAGTAGATGTCTGTGTAAGCCAAATGCTTCGTCTCCAACAAAGAAGTATGGTATTTTAGGACTCTCTGTTCCTGGAAGAAGTTTTTCCTCAGGTAATGGTGGAGAACCACTGTCTATTGATTTCCACAATTTGGACCTCTTAAATATTGACGAGTCACACTCTTTACCATAGCTCCCGACATCAACGTAAACAAATCTGTACTTTGTGTCTGCTAAAGCCATAAGGACAATAGAGAATTATCTTTGTAATTAAAATACATTGATCCTGAGTCAAACGGACAAGTCAGTCTTATATGCTTGCCGTCCACAGCTCTAAGAAGTGAGGGAAGTTTGCGATACTTTCAAAGTTGGAAGCAATTGACTGCCACATATCACAAGTTGGTGTCGGTATACACTCTTCTCGCATTTGTGACCAAATCGCAGCACATACTTCTTCAACTATGTTTTTTGCTGTTAAAATTCCAACTTTGTAGCTGTAGTACAAATCCGTAAACGTACAGCCACTCGCCAAATATCTGAAATAAAGTGAACATTGTCGTTAATAATTATCATACTGAATTGATTGTATTTATTTATTTTATTTTTGTTTTTTACATGGAAAGAAGTGGTGAAAAGGTGGACTAATCTTCAAGTATGTTTCGCAAAATCGAAAAAAGATGACAAATCTGCTAAAAAAAGTGGATCTGGGGCTAAAAAACGTAAGAAATATGTGTTTTCAGACCAACTTCAATTTTTGAATAAAATCTACACCGAAAAAGAAACGGTAGACAGCTTCAACCCAGAAATTGTACCAGGAACACTCGAAGAAGATGAAGAGCCTAAAGGCACCACTGGTGACCTGAAGTTTCTACCAACGTAAACCTGCCATCCAAGCCCGTAGGAACAAGGAAACGAAAGAAACTAGATGAGGTTGAGGTGAAAATGCTCAAAGCTCTGGAACATAAAATGCCCTGCAGTAAAATGTCCTTCCTTCAGAGTTTAATGCCTCATTTGACAAACTATTCCAACAGTGAATTCCTTCAAGTTCAAGTGGGAGTGTTAAACGTAATAGAAAACATAAACAAACTAAAGGAAACTCCTCACCTTCAATCAAACAACCCCTCTTATGTGCCCTCTTATCAACCACAACCTCAGTACATGCTTCAGGCATCTCCCGTTAACCAACCGCAAGCATTTGTCCATGTTCAAAAACCTGCATTTAAACCTCAACAATATGCAAATCCTAGTTTTTCGGGCCACGTTAAAAATAGCGCAGAACAGCTTCACTTTTCTCAATATGTACGTGAACAGCAAAATCAATCAAGGCCAACGCAGCAATCAACGCCTAAACAATCAGATTCACAAACCGAACTGGATAAAGCATCCGCATCTCAGTACCTACAGGGATTTAGTTACAGCGACTCTTCAGCAACTGAAACTGAGCATAGTCCGTCTATTTCGGCTTCACGAGATTCCTCGATGTCTGATCTATTTTGACTGAAGAAAATTAAATAAAGTATACTTGCTTTAAAAGGTTTTATTATATTACCTACTACTGTAATATTATGCTTACCTTAAACATATTGCCAGCATTTCAACAGGTTGTATACAGTTTCTGAACTGCGTGTTTTGTCGTTGTAGAACACTCTTCAGTTTCCCATGTAACTCATCAAAGGAGCGAACTGACATACGAAAGTAGTTGAAAAACTTTTGGTCATCGTTTCTAGGATCTTCAAATAATGTGTGGAACATTTCGACTTCCTCTCGTCTCTGATTAATTGGGTGAATCCAGTGAAGGCGATTGCGCCTTTGTCTTTTTCGACGCCGATACAGTATCCATAACGCAATAACTTGTTCGCAATCTATAATTTTCATCCAGACCAGACCAAATATTCCGATGAACTGATAAAAATGTACGATTTTTATCGTTCAATGTGAAAGTAGCAAAACCACGATTAAAAATCGGGCGATTTTTTCCCGCACGAGCGAAATCGTGTAATATGAAAGGAGCGTAAGTTAGGGCTGCATTTTGTCCCCGCTACTATTTAACATCTATTCTGAGGTCGTTTTCAATATAGCAGTGGATAATGTTCAATGTGGTAGAAAAATGAATGGCGTCAATATTAAGAATTTGAGATATGCGGATGACACAATGCAAGCAATTACGAAGAACTTCAACATCTAATTAATAGGATTCAACGTGTGATGAATATGGCCTTAAGCTAAACACCGCAAAGACAAAGTGATGGTCGTCAGTAAAACACCAATACAACCGGAAGTAGTAAGAGCTTTTGGTGAAAACTGGAGAGAACAGTATCACTTACCTTGGTTGTAATCTGGGATATGAGCAAAGAAATTAGAATACGGATACAAAAGGCCAGAGATGCACAAATGAAGAAACTGTTATGTGGAAACAACGACGAAAGAAGTCGGCCAGGTCGAACAAGAACGTCCTGGCTTAGAAACCTGAGAAATTGGTTTAACAGATCCTCTGCATCTCTTTTCCGAGCTGCCGTCAACAAAATTATTTATATATTTATATATATTAGCTGCCCTCCTTCAAATATTTATATATATTAGAAATTTATCTTAAAGAATTTTTGTCACTGGACGCATCTCCCCTGTGTTAATTACGTGATAAACTTATTGTTTATTGTTTTTTTTTTATTTGTAGAAACAGATTACAATAAATAAAGAATGTAAAAAAAATTTACTACCAGTTATATCTCGGCTGTTCAAGCATATTTATATTCAGCTATTTAAAATTTTAAAAGCAAATGAGACAATTAAATGCTTCACTTTTAGTTTTTAGATTACGTTTGTAAGGAATATTTCGCATACAATTTCTATGTAAATATATATATAATTCTCTGTAAATTTTACTCCTTACATTCCTTCTTAAAACCATTACGACATAAAATTATTTTAATTTTTCAAATCGATTTTTACTCCCAAACTGATTTTAAAACGTGTTCCGTCAGTCAAATCAAAGCCACGCCTAACTAAACTTATGAAAGATCAACCAAGTCCTTCAAATGGGAAAAGAAAGTAGTTTGACTCCCGGAATATGTTCAATTCTAAAACTATAAAACCGAAAAAATTGTCAAAATGTGTATCAGTGTATCAAACATAACAAAATGTTTTGCAAAGTAAGTTACTTAATTATTTAGTTAATTGTATTAATCAATAATAATAAACAGTAATAATTACTAATAAAAATTATGATAAATGATTATTTTAAAGACTATTTATTGATTTTATAAATTCAACGTTGTCGTCGTATTTGTACATCAGAATGTGCATTAATTTTTCAGTTTGCTTTTGTGGTTCTTCTTTTTTATAGCACAATATCCTCATTAGACGTGCGGTTCACACAATTGTTTACAGAATCTTTGACCATTTCATATGACGTTTTGCCAGCTCAATATATTATTCTTTTATATTGCTGACCCGATCACAAAATCAAATATACCATTTTTCTGCATTTAGTTTAGATGTTGAAGTCTGTTTTCTTTTCATTTATCTTGTATTAAAACCATAAGAATACAGTACTTATCAGTTTACACAACATATCCAAAAAATACAGTATTTTTCTATAATTAACTATGCAAAGTAGTTTTAGTCTTGACCTGTTCTTTGCGAACTATTTGCATTCTTAACTCAATGATTTTATAAAACACGTATTATGTGATAACTCCACATATCGAGAGCTAATATATTCTTCTTGTTTAAGTTCCATCTTCTATTGAAGGTTGGAAATCATCATGGCTATGCGGACTCTGTTGACTGCCGCTCTAAAAAGTTCTGCACTACTGAATTCAAACTATTCCCTTAAGTTCTTAAGCCAGGATATTCTTCGTCTTCCCACATTTCGCTTTCCTCGGATTTTGCCCTGCATAATAAGTTGTAATAATTCGTATTTTTGCCCTCTCATCACATGTCCTAAGTACTCAATTTTTCGTCTTTTAATAGTTAGTATTTTTTCCGCCTCCTTTCCTTAGCTTCTAATTACTTCCACGTTTGATATTCTTTGAATCCATAATATTCGTAGGATTCTTCTGTAACACCAAAATTCAAAGGCAACCAACTTTATTCCCATGGACTTGTTTAAGTGTCCACGCTTCCAAGCCATAAAGAAGAGTAGAGAACACGTAACATCGAACCATTCTCAGGCGTAGTTCTAACCTTATATCCCGACAACAAATAAACTTTTTAAGTTTAATGAATGATGTACATGCTATTTCAATACGTGTCTGAATTGCTTTGGTTTGATCTACATCTGATGTTATCCATGTTCCTAAGTATTTATAGTTATTAACACTCCCAATTGCAGTATCTTCAATAGTCAATTTAATATTTGCATGTGCAGATTTAGTCATGATCATGCATGTAGTTTTCTTTAAATTTATCTTCAGTCCGTAGTCATGACAGCGTTCATTAAGGCGTTGAATTACGTTCTGTAAATCCTTGTTGTTATCCGTCATTATTACTGTATCGTCTGTAAAACGTAAGTTATTCAAAACTTCTCCATTGATAAATATACCTTCTATTGAGTCTGAGAGCGCTTCTTGAAATACCGCTTCTCTGTAGACATTGAAAAATAGTGGGGACAGCACGCAACCCTGGCGGACTCCTCTCTGTATTTTGATATTTTCGGTGTACTGGCTGTCAACTCTTACCTTGGCAGTTTGATTCCAATATAAATTAGATATAACATTCATATCACGACTGTCAATATTTTTTCTTTTTAATATATCTACAAGGTTTTTATGTTGAACCTTATCAAATGCCTTTTCAAAGTCTACAAAATATAAGTACATGTCCTGATTCATGTCCATGCATCTCTTAGCCAGCAAATTCAAGCCGAACAAAGCATCTCTTGTACTCATACCATTTCCAAAGCCAAATTGTGTGTCATTAATTTCATATTCAAGAGTTTTAACAATTCTGCTGTTAATTATTTTCAAGAATGTTTTAAGTGTGTGACTCATTAAAGCTATTATTCTATGATCTGAGCAAGTTGTTGCACTTGGCTTTTTGGGAATTGCTACAAAGGTCGATTGCAGCCACTGTCTCGGAATTATGGCAGCCTGATATATTAGATTAAAGAGCTAATATATTTTGTATTTAAGATGTAGATCGCAAAAACAGTTCCAATTATATAAAACATACTCTTTTTTAATTCTAATACGGATTTCTCTAGAATGATCCCAATTATCATTTAAGTTCCATTCCAAATGATGTAAAATAATTCTGTAGTTGACTTTGCTAAATAATCTCTCGTAATTTGTAAAGCAGAAAAAGTTATTATTTTGTATATATTTATTAAATTAACACTTAGGTGCCGAATAGAGGTTCCCCAGCCTCATGGTAATTTCTGAATTAGAAATAAAATTCATCTTGCTCCTGTTCAATGATTGGATTATATTTTATTACGTACACATATTATTGTTTCTCTTAATTTAGGACTCTTTACTTTTACAATTTAGTCTTGGGGCTGGACCGATATTAAGCTCGCATACCATCGTTTTGAATATCTTCTATGCGGTGTGGATCTAACGCGATTTTTCAGATGTTGTTGATCTATCGCGATTAAGGTCGTACGCGGCATTGTTCTCTTATATTCCCTTTTTTTTCGTCATTTAAAGGGTAATTAGCAATGGATCTTAGTGTTCTCATTTCAGTTGTCCTCAGGAGCTTCCTGGATGCAGCTGTTTCCGCTCTGATCTCGATCACATAGGTTATTACTGGTGTTACGTAAATTTTATATATTCTCTCTTTACGTCCAACTAAATACTTCTTCCTCCAGATATCACGCAGGTATCCAGATATCATTGTTACTCTGTTAATCTGCGATTTGTTTTCTTTTTTAAGATTTCTGCTACTGGTAATGGTAACTTCTAGATATTTAATGTTCATAACTTGCTCATAACTTTGGTTATGTGCCGCTAGTTTACATCTCTTCTTTTTTAGATAATCATGAGTGGCTGTCTTTTTAATAAATATAATCACATTAAATGTTTCTGCAATGTTTTGAAACCTGTATAGTAATTGTCGTGTATTATCTTTATACTCTGATATAAATACTATATCATTAGCATAGGCTCGCCAAACTTGTTGATTCTAGAGTTTTGGCACTTATGGAAGATACCTTACTTTGTAATGGTACAAATAAAACAGTAAATTCGATTACAGGAAACTATCCTGTTTAATAAAAATTATTAAATAATTGTTTTGTTGAGTTCACGTATTTTTAGTAATTTAGGTCTTTATTTTGTACTATTTTCACGGCCTTTACTAGTTCACGTTTTGATGTATCACTGTTCTTCTACCTGATTTTTCCTTCCAGGGGTGGGTTGACTTGTTTCTCCTACAACTTCTTGACCAGACTTATGTAAAGTTTTCTATTTATGGTTTTTTATACTTCCAACTATACCTTTATACTATACCTTCCAACAGCGACCCCTCAAGAAATCAAAAGCTAGTTGCTAAAATGGAATGGTCATTTAAGTGAGAAGATATATGAAAATAAAAGCAGCTGATCTGAATATTTCGTTGTTTATTTACATTTTAAATGTAATTTGAATTAATTCTAATTTCAATTTATCAAAAACATAAACGAACACAATGACATCAATTTACAAAGAGGTTGCATACTTTTTTTGGACACACTGTATGGTACAATTTTTATTTTTTTTTTAATATTTGGAAATTAATAATTGCTTTATAGTTTCTAATTTATTAAAAAAATCCAGATTCACAATTTATTAAAAGCTCAGTGGATATGTCAAAATTATTATCATTAATAAAAAAAATTTCTAAATCTCTGATACTCATACTTCAGATAGGCAAGGCATATTCGACTGAATATGAAAGCTGAATGACTGAAACTGAAAAACCTCAGGTTCTTCCCATCGGATTTAAAGTTAGAAATAGTTTCATATATGTATATTTGGATTTTCCTTAATACAGTCGTTAATGTTCAATTCTCCACTTTCTGTTGGCACATCACACATCACTATCAATCAAGACAAATTGTTCTAAACCCACTAATGTGTCTGAAATTATGAGAAATACTCTTGCAACTGGAATATTATCAAAATAAATGACGGTTGCGTTTTGATTTAATTTGGGTCTCTTTTCTGAGTCTAACCGTCATCAGAGAAAGTTTGTAAGAAGACAAACCAAACCAAAACGCACCGACTACTAAGAAAATTTAAACTAAACCTACATAGCATATCAATAAAATGTATGTCTTTCCGAGGAATGCTATAAAGATTTAATCTGTACTTGAGAAGTTTAAGCCTTAAATATTAGAGTGTAACTGATCCAATTTTGCAAATTGGCTTCTTCATAATGGAGATTATAGATTTATTATTTGACTGGACATTAACATCAAAATTATAAATAAAATTGTTAAATTTTTGAGTACCATAATACATTGTCAATAGTTCCTTCTCAATCTGGTTGGCGTTGACCGTTTGACGTTTCTTGATATTTTATACCCATTGTCATTATTGTCATTATCAATTGTTATTTATGTGTACAAGAATAAATATTTCTTCTGTCATATCTACGTTAAGTACATTGTGTTAGTTTTGGTAGAGCTTTTGTTACTTTCGTTCAAAATGCCACATCAGTTTTCGACCACAGAATATGCAGACATAATATTTGTTTATGGATTCTGTAATGGGAATGGGTCGAACTCCCAGTCATCCAACATTTGGGTCAGTTTTTAATTATTTGCGAGAAAATGGCACTTTTCCTCGTCTGGTCTGGAACATACAAACACCTAAGCCATGTTTAGATGCATCCCATTGTAAAATAATTTTTTGATTAGGATCATATGGGACTAAAGCTGGTGATTTAAAAATGATGTTGTTTAAATTATCAAAACATTTTTGATGTGAGGGGATCCACACTCATTCTACAATATTTTTAAGTAATTGACAAAGAGGTTGAATATGTTCAGCCATATTCGGAATATATCATCTAACGTAATTAAATCCACGAAAAATTCGTTGCAATTCTATTTTACTATTTAGTTTTTCAAGTTTGCAAAGTGATTTCACTATATCAGGATGAAGTTGCATTTCTTTATGCGAAAAAACTTGGCCCATCAAATTTGTCACTAATAAACTTCGCTCCTACTTCTTTAGTCCTTTGTAATACTTTTTTAACAGTTGTATCATGTTATTCTTTTGTTGTTACCATAACAATCATGTCATCATGACAAAACTAATAAATTCTCTATACCTTTAAATTTATCTTCTACTACTTCTTGAAACAATTCTTGAGAATTTGATAATCCAAATGGCAATACTTTATAATCTGAAAATTCCATAAGATGTTGCAAAACAGCGTTTCCAGGATAATTGCTCATGAAGTTCCAAAGGATGATACCTTTTGGAGAAATCAAATGCAGAGAATATATTTTCATCCATCATTTGTGCATAATAATCTTTCAATTTATGAATTACTCTTGGTTTGCGGACTATTTGTTTGTTTAAGTCTAATTACGCGAGTTATAAACGTAACTTACCATTTTGCTTTTCCACAATAACAATGCCGTTCATGCTTGCACTCGAGTCAGTTTCGTTAACCTTCACAATTGCCTCTCTTTTTGTCAACCTATCTAATTCTTCTCTTAAATTATCTTTAATTGCAACGTGTACATTTACAGGTGAGTAACTTACTTGTTTAAAAGTGTCTACTGTGATTAAAAATCCTATGTTTACCATATAATTTACCGTAACCCGGAAAAACATCAGGGTTAAGATTTATAAATGTGTTTCTTTTGACTAATTCTAAACTCTCAACATTGTTGATTTGTTTAACAAATCTTAAATTAGTAGATAATTTACCACATAAAAGATCTCGAGTTGCCCCATCAATAATTGTGTTAAGTCCTCATAAACATACTTATTTTTGTATTTACAAACTAAATTTATGTTTATTACATTCTGCGCTTGCTGGATAGCCCAAATTTAACGAAATGCCCGTGATGATGCTGTAGAAAGCGAAAGTACTTGGGCAAGATTTGATTATTAAAATTGTGCTCGATATTTGCCTTTAATTTTTTAAAGTTCATTTATTATATTAGTATAGTTAGCATCCTGATTTCTAGCCACTGCTATTAGTAGTGGTTTCAAAAGGAACGGACTCAGCAGAGGGGAGTTCTCATTTTGATTTTGGATTGATTTTTTGTTGTAAGAGCGACTCGTGTTCCTAGAACATACTGGCTGCGAATATTGTCTATAGTTTCAAGTGGTCTGCCATAATATAAAAGGTTGAAGGTTTTACAAAAAAAAATGATCAAGACTACTTTTAGGAGTCAGTTTCCTTTAAGCACAACTTAGACCTTTCATTAGGTTTGCTTAAAGATCTTTCAATAGATTTGTAAACATTAAGTGCCTTCAAATAGTATCATTGCAGCTGTTCGTTGGATTTGTTTGACAGTTTTGTGGAATTTTCAAAACTTGAAGGTTCCCTATAAAAATCGTCGGAATGGTTTGAACCTGCAAAACTCTGAATAGTTTTATATTCTTTCACAGACAGCAAATGTGGATCTGTATATCACTGGTCTGGAATAGAATTGCTTTTATTCTCATTCGGATGAGGACGGTCAGTAGCATATGATGGTCAGTATTCCAGACAACTGAAATCCCGACACAATATTTTTTTCAGATGCTGCAAGTGGCAAAGTCTCTCGAACAATCGCCGGAACGTCGTATACTGCCATCGTACGTCCAGGATTGCTAGTATTTTAAGAGTCACAGGCTAAATTAACATATATTTTAAATGGTCAATACCGACCTATCCAACCTAAGCTTATCGAACAATGCGATGGAAATGATAAAACTGTTACTTACTCCTTTACTTTTTAAATAAAATGCTGAAAGAGCCACTATCGACAAACGCGAATCATGATTGTCTAGTAAGAGCAAATTTAGCGTCTCGAAAGAATATCTAACACGTTTAACAAAATGGTTTCAAAAGCTAAAAAAGTGCTCCTTTTTTATCCACCCCGATAGATTTGCTACTCCGACTGATCCGTTAAGGCCAGTTCCAAGAAAATGGTCCTTAAAGTTTACTCTCAGGAAAATAAAACATGAAGGTATCGAATTTAATAACGCAGATACAGCCACAACAACAGTTACTAAAGTACTTGTACAAATACTTGTACAAGTTCTTGTGAAGTAATCCGACCCACTTGCTTGAATTTACACCTTGTAATGATTCTATTGGGTTTTTGTACAGTTGTGACTCTAGTCTCATCCATGTTCCATATTCGCGCTGCCGTCAGATTTAGACAATTTAAGACTGTTTGTAAATTAGCAAAAAACTTTGAAACATTTTCTTTATTGAAACTTGAAGCTCTAGCTACACGGTTGCTTCTGAAGTTCTCATTGACAAAGTATTCTGCCGTTTGATGCAGGACGTGAACCAATCTGGGCCAGCCATTTAATGATTCATCCCAGGATTTTGGGCACTTGATATTCAAAGCCTTCACATATTTAAACTGAAGCTTCCGTACCTCTTTAACAGAAAGTCCAAAATATATGCTGATTTAAGATATTCGTTTAAAAGGTTTTCGTGCTGTATGGAAAACACCTGAAATAATAAGTAAATGCGTATATTCTTAGATACTTTTATAGTCAATAATATGTATATTCGTGCAAAATATGTGATACTAGTAATAATAAAAAAAATGATAGCTGACGATTCATAAAATATCTCATTTTGATCGTTGGATTTACATCGCAATAAATCTTTTACTCAGTGAATTTCTATCGCTTTAAAGTTGGCTCAGGAATATCAAAATTGTTGGCAGTCCCTCTTATGGATTTCTATATATATTTTTATCTGCTCTTAACATAATACCTGGTGTAGTTTTATCTTCTTCGGAATACCTTTTACAAGAACTCATTTTCTAAAACAAAATTTCAAATCAGTAAAACTATATTTATGCTCGCGGATGGTAGACGCATATGTCAACCAGCCCCTCATCGAATGCGTCAACCAGAGCATTGGAGCACATATTTGGGTATTTATGGTTTTGGAAAATATAATGATGTATTTTATAGTCGCAGTTTCAAGCTGTAATACAAAACAAAGAACGCAATATTTGCGCAAAAAAATATAAACCTAATATTTGCGCAAAAAGTTACTGTATTCTTATTTTTAAATTTGAATTATATAAGCATAATATTGAAATAATGGGAAATATTTTTGTTTCATTTTAGATCACCGTCTTAGTTGCAATACTCGCATACGCCAATGCTGGCATTTACGGCGAATCCCCAGTAGCCGCTCTCTCAGCCGGACCAGTGGTCTCTGCCTATTCTTCATATGCAGCTCCTCTTTCCTACTCATCGCCAATCTCGGCTCCCGTTGCAGCATACTCTGCGCCTGTTGTTGCTGCCCCAACTGCTGTATCCAGATCAGTCGTCAGCACCTATACCAACCACGCCTCACCTGTAGTTGCAGCATATGCGGCCCAAGCACCAGTTGTAGCTAAAACAGTAGCTGCTCCAGTTGTATCTAGCTACTCTGCACCAGTGGTATCTGGCTACTCTTCACCAGTGGTATCTGGCTACTCTTCTCCAGTGGTATCCAGCTATTCAGCACCAGTGGTATCTAGTTACTCTGCACCAGTAGTATCAAGTTACTCGTCCAACATTGTGGGAAAAAGCTATGGTTCGCCTGTCATTTCAGCCTATTCATCACCATTGGTTGCTGCACACTCCGCTCCTGTTATCTCAGCATATGGATCTCCAATTGTCAGCGGTTACTCTGGACATTCTCCAGTAGTGTCTGCTTATTCCGCTCCATGGTAAAATGTAGATAATTTTTATTTATTATGAATTCACTTGCAAATATTTATAACAAAAAATAAATTCTACTAAAGCTGCAAAAAATTGTTTTTAATAAAACCTATGATAAAACCGCTTTATTACACGAAAAGAAAGTATGTAAGTGTATACCTTATCTGAATAAGAAATTAAAAAAATTAATTGAAGGTTTTTGGTTTAAGTATACCTACCTTCATTTTTACGCATAAGAACTTATCACTTAGAATACCAGAAGCCACCAGTGTAGGACTTGCCACTGCATTTAATAAATATACCGTTTAGCTATTTTTTGACAATTTAAAGACAATTATGAAAAGGGAATCGATTACACTTAATTATATATATAACGCAGATGAAACGAGAGGTACAACAGCATATAAGCCGCAAAAAATAATTGCGAATAAAGAGCAGAAGCAGGTGTCAAAGGCAACAACGTGTGAAAGAGGATCACTGGTAACAGTTTTTTGCACTATAGGTGCGTCTGGTAACACTATTCCCCCATTTTTAATTTTTGCGAAGGTTAGAATCCAGGATTATGACAAGAGGGCTTCCCATTAGTGCTGATGCTGCTTTTAACTTATAAGGCTGGATGACTCATCAGAATTTCGAAAACTATTTACTGCACTTTATTAGATATTCCCGAGTCGACATGAATCAAAAGTGTCTGCTGATACTATATAATCATGATAGTGTTACGAACATGCATTCAGCGTGGCCCGTGTAACGGTTGCATCTCAGGCATCGAGAACCATCCATAGATCTCTCAAACGCAAGAGAACAATCCGTCACGTATTTGACTGAATTAGAATTAGAGGTGAAAATGTTCTAGAACATAGTAACTTTGGTATGTATATGTAACGATGTTATGAGTTAGTTTAGTTGATAAGATACTACCGAACTGTAAACTTATAAATAAATATATGTATATAAATTCGAACCGCTCGTTTTATTTAAAAACGGTACAATAGCCATATTTTGCTAAAAGGTCATAACATCTGTAAAAACAATGGAGTAATGCCAACACCCTTGAATACCAACGGTTTTGGGTTATTTAAATGATTTTATAATAAAGCAGTCGATAACTGGATGGTTGAGAACCCTGCACAGCTGATATCCTAAAAATAAATACCAGAACTTGTGGGAAGTGCTTACGTTCGCGCTTTTACACCTGCCAATATCATAGGTGGGTTTTCACATACTGGTATTTGTCCATACTATCTAGCTGTATTTACAGATAGTGATTTTCCATCCATCCAATGGCACTACAGCCCGGGTAGTCGGGTCTCGGCCTCCTACAACAAACTATTCCAATTATTTCGATTTACCGCTGTTTTTTTTTTTCATAAACGCGTTCCTAGGCAGTTCCTGGCATCCTCATCGACTTCGTCTTCCCATCTCTTTTTAGGTCTTTCAACAGGTCTTATTTCCTGCATTCTTGCATTTAGTAATTTTCTGGGAATTCTATTCTCATGCATGCGGACCACGTGCCCTGCTCACCGTAAGCTCTGCAGTTTAGTTTGTGCTAGAGTTGATTCGCTATATTGCTCGTATATTTCCCTATTATACCTAATTCTTCAGTTATTGTCTTCACTTATTGGGCCCAGTCCCCTACGAAATAATTTTCTTTCAAACACATCTAATGCATTGGCTGATTTCTGTGTCATCACCATGTTTTACAACCATAACTTACTCTGGGCTTGATTATTGTTTTATGAACCCGGAGTTTTGTTTTCCAGTGTATGTCTTGCGATTTGAATATGTAGCAAATCGCTAAATAGGCTTTACTTGCCAGCACAAGCCTTCCATTTATTTCCGATTCTTCTTCATTGCTTGCGACCAGATAAATTCCTAGGTATGTAAATCCATTCACATGTTCTGTATCCTCAATAAAGTGTTGTTGCGCCGGTCTATTTGATATGGTTTATATGAATAGTTTTGTTTTATATGTATTTATTGCTAGCCCTACTACTTCTGCACTCTGTTTCAACTCAACGTAGGTTTCTTCCGCTGCATTCATTGTTCTGTTCATTCTGTTCTGTTCTGTTCAGCATCTGCGTATGCTGCTAATTGGGTAGATTTGTTTGTAAGTATATTATTTCCGCTCACCGTCAACCGTCTAATTACATATTCAAGAACTAGATTAAAGACCGTTGGAGCCAGTCCGTCACCTTGTTTCATTCCTTGTGTTATCGTAAACTCATCAGTGATCTGTCCTTGAATACATACCTATGCTTCTATTTCTGTCATTAATTTTTGCACTAGTATTAATTTTGATGGTATGTCAAATTCTTCCAATATATTAGGTAGAATGGTTCTATCTATTGAATTATAGGCTTGTTTAAAATCTACAAAGAGATTGTAAGCGTCCATGTCATATTCGCATGCTTTGGCTAGTATTTGTTTAACTGTAAATAGTTGGTCAATGGTAGATCTATTTTGCCTAAACCCTGCTTGAAATTCCTCGATGATTTTTTCTGTGAGAGGTTAAAGTCTTCGATTAATGATGTTTGTGAGTATTTTGTATCCCGAACAAAATAAAGAGATGCCTCTATAATTCTGATACAACAGTTTGTCTCCTTTTTTATGAATAGGGCAGATTATACTTTTCTTACATTGTTGGGGGATTTTTTCTTCTATCCATATCTCTCGTATTAGCTGATACATCTGTTGTGTCAAATTTCTTCCTCTTTGCTTTAGTAGCTATGCCGGTATTTTATCTATTCCCGGTGCTTTATGGCTTTTTTGTAAGTGGATTGCCGTTTGGACCTCCTCTAGCGTTGGGGGTCTAGTTAATTAATTTTCTTCTCCATCTTCCCCCAGCTCTTGTTGTTGTACCTCCTGCCGTGCCTCCTGCTGCCTCTGTTGTTGTTATGGTGGTTGTGTCCCTTTGTTTAGTAATTCCTTAAAATATGTCATCCAGGTTCTCTTAATTTCGTCCATATCGCTAATGATTTCACCCTTATTCACCTATTATCCCTGTCTTAAATGTTTGATAAATTGGTATGCACTACGTGTTTCGTTTTCCTTAAACTCCTTTTCTATGTTTAGTATCCATTGCTTTTCGTACTTTTTTTTCTGCCTGCATAGTTTATCTACTCTTCGTCTTTTGTTCTCAAATTCTGTTTTTTCTCTCATTAGTACGTCTGAGTATGTAATTCTTATTGCTTCATTTCTTTCCTGTATAGCTTGTTTACATTCTTTATCGAACCATGTTACTTCTCTCCGTTGTGTCTTTGTTCCTACGACTTCTTTCGCTGTGTATGATACTGCTTATGCCATTGGTTTTATATTGTGGAGTCTACTCTGTTTTCTTTTAGTAATTTTTCATCTACTATTCCCTAAAATCTTTCTTGTACCTCAGAGACTTTTAGGTTATCTTACAGCCCTTGAATACCAATGTTTTTGGTCCATTAAAAAGATTTTATAATGAAGCAGTCGATAACTGCAGCATAACTGCAGTCGATAACTGCATAGCTGATATTAAGAGATTTAAAAAAATTGGCATTAAAAGATGAAAATCAACTGTTTGGTTGAAAATCATGTATATATTTTGTATTTTACTAAATTTCATTATAACTAATCTAAAATCCCATATTGAATTATAAATCAGATTTTCCTTTATTGTAATCTATTTTGTTTCTACTTCAGTAAAACTGCTTGGAAATAAGTGAGAGTGAATCAGAATACGCAATTCTACTACTATTTACCTATTCACAGTATTTCCTCTGCACAAAATTTTTAAATTTCAACAGATTTGCATACAAAAGAGTGATTATTATTAGTGTATGTATGAAAACAAAAGTAAATATTTCGTCTGAATCCCCAGGAAAATAAAAGGTTTTACGCTACTGGAAATATATTTTTTATTCAATTATAACCAAAACAAAACATTTAAAAAAAAATTCGATCATTTTTTGACCATAAGTTCAAAATTTATGTGTACGTTAAGCTGTAATAATGGGTTCGAGCCATTTCGAGCGGTCTTGAGTACGTCACCACAGCATAATAAACAATCAGAAGGGCCACTCTCAGATGCCGCCTTTGAAGTTTTTCAGCACGCGCGCCATGTTTTAGGAGGACACAGACATATGATTTGTGTGGTTATGTAATTGTTTATATTTATGTTTAATTATATTATATTTATGTAATTATATTTAACAATGTTAATATAATTGTATAGTATGTCTATGATTGCCGTAAGTCAAATAAACCTGGTTAATTTTTCCACGCACACCACATAAACAACACTAATTTCTTTAAAATCCTCCTAAAACATGGCGGAACGTCTGCGCGGAGGAGATGCGTGTACTTAATTTTCCGTGGAGAGTGGGTATTCTGTTTGTTTATTATTCTGTGACATCACACTCCTGGGCCAGCTGTCAAATGTCATGCGCAATATCATACCTTGTATTTATTGTACCATGGATTAAGACTATGAAAACATAGAAATGTTCCTATATTCACACTAATCAATAAGAATAATATTGTCATCTGTCAGTGATATATGTTACAGATTTTTGTTATATATTTTTTACAATATTTATAAACCGTCTTTGCTATTTTATTTAAACAAACCAAACATTGTGTTTGTATTGGAATATGAAAAAACATTAAAAATGAAATACTTTTTATACAGCTTTAAGGTATGTTTTCTAGTTTAATTTAAAAAAAATATATTGTTTACAATTATTTTTTAATATGAGCTTTACTAACTTTTAAGTTTTGATTGATCCGCATTTAAAAAATGTAAATAATCAGTCGTGTAATTAACAACTGAACAAAATAAACATTTTTCCTCTAAACTAAAGGACTGTGTTCCTTGAAAATGCCCATGGTCAACATTTTTTCTTAAAACTTGTTTTTTATACATAAATAAAAAACACGAATATTTGGTTAACATCGTCCAATATAGTAGTTGATGCAGTTTTGAAATCAAGAACATACCTAGTTTTGTTACAGGTAACTTACTTACCATAATAATATAACACTGATTTTGTTTTCTTTTTACACAGTTTGTATAAATATCTAGTGGTTTTTTGGTTAGTCTACTTAAATTTGATTAAAATTTTGACAAACAATTGCAGATATCTTCATTTTAAACTTATTTTCAAACTTACATAAGAGAACTTCTGTCTCTATGATACATTTATTTTGGAGTAATGTGATTGCCTAAAGTTTTGTATTCATTTAGAAATATCAGTTTTGTTTATTGGTAGAACACGTCCATTTGTTCTATGATAAATTGGATGTAAAAGGTAATTACATGGAATTAACAGAAAGAAAATCTGCTAGGGAGGGTTTACTTGATTATTCCTTACTTTACTGCTGTACCAACACTGATGGTAGCTAAACAAAAAGTCAAAGCTGTACCCCAGTAACTGTATAGTACCAAAATGTAGGTGGGCTATATACTAAACTATTTGATCTCTTAAAAAGTATTTTATTTGAAAGTAACTTAAACAACATAATGCAAATATATAATGGATAGAGGATAGTAACATAGGAGTGATAATATGGGTATATAATATGAGCACATAATTGACAGTAATATATGAGTCATACTAACAGTAGAACTAGTAAGAAATTGGAGGTAGTAGAAATTGGAAAGTTGAGGTAGAGTTCTAATATTAATTAATAACAATTTTCAGTCTGTTTATTTCTATTATTGAAAATTGCATAGAACAGCTTTAATTTTTGTGCCAGGTCCATGGGTCTCAATTTTTTATAGGAGGTGTTTACATTCCTCCTCAAATGCCTTGTGAGTCCATATCCAACACTGCCACTTCATTTACATATTCATATACATATTCATTTGTTTACTACACTTTACTGAATGCATTATGGTATAATCATGAGTATGGTGTATTGATTCATTGTCCAGGAGAAGATCTAGCTGTGGATATTGCTTGGTTATTTAAAATTTTATCAATGTACTTAACGCTATATCAAATGACAGAAATGTATTTTTGGATTTGGTTTTTTCCAGCGATAGGAAACTGAATGTTGTAAAAGCAAGTGTTCTCTACTGAACTCAACTCATCATGTTGCATATGAATGTTGTTTAACAATTTCAAATATATCTAATTCATCAAGACTAGCTTATGAGGATTTTTTTATGATTTTAATATGGTAATTACGCTGAACTTTATAACTTTTTGGGCTCTATTAATTGGCAGGATTCCTTGACTTACAATAATGTTAATGTCTCAACTAATATGTTCTATGAAATTATTTCACTATGAATTTTATACTTTATACATGTGAAGAGATACAGAACATCAACTTTTCCTAAATGGTTTTTCCATGAACTTAGAATTTTGGCATGTGACAAAAAGCATGCTCACTCATTGTATATAAAATATCGTACGAATGCCAATTATAGTAAATTCTCTCTTCTTAGAACAAAATGCAAACATTTGTCTGGTATATTCTTTAATCAATTATTTGAGTAATGAATATTTTGGGACTTGAAGGGAAGGGAACAAAACAGTTTTTTGAGTTTTGGGGGTTTTCAACTTATCTAGTTTCGACTTACTGTAGTACCAAAGTAGAAAGAACAAACAAAATTAAAACTACTTACTAAGTGAAAAAGAAATGCATTTCAAGTTGGTTTATAAACAGAAACTCTTAGAAAGAGAAAAAAAAAATAGATTTTATTACTGGTTCTTTTGACTTAAGGGAATTATTGACCGTTCTATATTATACATATGAGGAAGCTAATATTTTGTTTAATAAGATAATTAGAATATTCCCATATGACAAATAACAATCAATTAATATACCAATATCTTTTTAGACTATAACAACAGTATTCTATACAATAATTTGGTAATCCAGCACAGAGTATACAGAACAGCATGTTGTCTCAGAATTTTCCTGACCTTCAGCAATTAAGTAAGTATCTTTTTTCTTATTTTATATTTTCATACATATTTTAAATATTTTCTCATTGACTTTCAGAAGGGTTCATAACTGTTTTGTATCCATTATGCAATTCATCACAGTCCACTAATATGTTTACACAATTTATAATAATACTCTAAAAGTTGTATGAAGATTTTTTTATGTACCAATTTCTTTTTATTCTTTAATTTAGTTGCCATCAATGTTACATCCTATTCAAATATTATTATGTCATCTCTTTCTAGTCTCTTTCTCTATTTTGGGATATTTGTTTCTCTATAACATGATGTTGTGACACCCTTTTTGGAATGCTTTGTCACTTAATATTTCACTTCTTCCTCAATATTAATAAAATAAATAAATAAAAAATATTCTTGTGTACATAGATCATTTTTATTCTTTGCTATCAGGAGTGCATCATCTGCATAACATGCTATCTGCAGTTTCTTGTTTCTTATTTGGTATTTTGTTTCTTTTTTACTTTCTTCTTCTTGTGCCATATCAGAATTATCTAATGTTGGCAATCACCATTGCAATGGCTTCTCGATCTTCTGCAATATGGAATAATTGTCCTGCATTTGATATCTGAGTCCATTCACGAACGTTTTTTAACCAAGAAACTTGTTTTCTTCCTACACCTCTACGGCCCTCTATTTTGCCTTTAAGGATCAGTTGTAATATTTTATATCAACTTCCCCTTACTATATGTCCCAAATCGATGTTTAACAGTCTTTAGTAGTACTCTATCTTTGTTGACGCTCCTTAGTACTTCTTCATTAGTTTTCCTTGCTGCCCAAGGTATCTTCAGCATTCGTCTATGAACCCACATTTCTAATGCTTCAATTTTGTTCATGATCGATACTTGTAGTGTCCACACTTCTGCACTATACAAAAGTACAGACTAATCATAGCACTTAACCATTCTTTATCTTAGTTCTAAACTGAGAAGAAGAAATGACTTCATTTTCATAAAAGTAGTTTTAGTTTACTTATAGTTTTTTACTTATTTTACCATCACAATGTTAGACTTGATATTATTCGACTTAAAGGATCTGTCTATCTAATTCTATTTGTTATTTCAATGGGTTATAGTTTTTCTTTCTGTAATTTTACTTCAGTTTTGTTTTTTACATATATGTTTCCTATCAGTTTTGTGATATCAGTGGGATGTCTCTGTTGTGCAGTAGATGTATTATAATCCTTAAAATAGACAGATAAAGAGCCTATTAAGGAAACATATATTAACTCTCATAAAACGGACTAGAGTGCATATCAAGCAGACCTTGAATATTGTTTAGACAGGGTTAAAGGGATGATAAGGCATACATTGGACCTAGACATGGCCGCTGAACAATTTCAAGTGGTTTTCATGTAGAGAGTTTGAAAACAATTGTCCGGAGATAGTGAGACACTTTAACAGGAAAGTACTCTGGTGAAATAACAACTTTGCAAATCAAAAGCAGAAAGGTACCTTTTTAGTCGAATATCAAGGGAAATTTCAAGTTATGGAGGATTTTGACTTGGCTGATTTTATTCAGCATATAGAGGTTAAGATTCATTCTTACCTACTAATTTTGGTTTAAATCAATAATTTCAAAAGATCTTTAAAACGAAACAAAAATATGGCATTAAAAAAGTCAATATTATTTTGCTTTAAATAATTTGGTTGTTCTCTATCTATAGCGGTATCTAAGGTATAAAGAGTAGAAAATTCTTGTTATTCGGAGTTTCTGGTTTGCTCTATAAAATTTTGGAATGTATTCGAATTTGTTCTTGCCTCTTTGATGGAAGTTCATAGAGCACATGTAGTATTATCCAAGTCTTCAATGGTATTTTAAATCATTAGTATCGATAGCTCTTTGTGAGCTACTGAATCGATAATTTTGTCATTAGATAGTGTTTTAGCGTCATGTCCATCATCGCGCGTAACAAAGTCCTTAAAGGATATTTCTTATTCAAACTCACTTAATATTTCAACTGATAGAGGGTTGCGATTTCGAGTAATGGAGGTTTTGGGGCTCGAGGGGAAGGGAACAAAACCTTTTTTTCGAGTTATCGATGTTTGACTTACAGAGGTTCTACTGTATTTAGAAAATTATTGGTGTATAGTAAAAGAAGTGAACCAGAACAGAATCAAATCGGCAATAATATCATTATAGTCAACCATATAAATCACTGGGTCCAAACAGAAATGACTGGTACAATTTTTTTTATATTACATCTTAGCATTGGGATACATACTAAAAGCATGGAGGCTTATAATGGTGACTTTTATACCCAAACCTGGCAAAATGGGACAGGAAAACCCTAAGTCCCTGAGGCCTGATGTCAGTTATACTGAAGAATAGAAAAACTGCTCCATATGCACATCAGGGATGGTTGGTAGGTATTGGTTGAAAGTCTGATACTTCAGGGACAGTATAAATATCAAGCAGAACTTTCTACGGAAACTGCGCTATCTCATGCATAGGTTTGGGTGTGTTCTAAAAACCAAGATTAAGAGATGATGCTGAGTGCATTTCTCATATAGAGGGAGCATTATACAATACTTAATATGAAGTAGGCACAAATGCGATTCGTCCAAAAGTAATAGACAAATCATGACCTAGTCATCTTAACTCACGGCAAATTTAATGGTACAGTCAGAGATAAAATGCAACAGTCTCGACTGTAGTTACAGAATGGACTTTAAATGTGGGGTTTAACGGACTAAGCCTAAATGGTACACATCTAAATATGGTGAGTGAACTAAAGTTTCTTGGGGTAATAATTGACTTGAGGCTTACTTGGAATCATCAGATAGAACAAAAACAACCCAAAGAGTGGTAACTACTTTAATGGTAATGGTAGCCAGGCGCACTTGTGGAAAAATTTAGGGTTTAAAACCGGACGTGTTATATTGAATATACAGTATAGTGGTAAAACCAACAGTTATAGATGTATTAGTAGTATGGTGACCACCGGGCCAGCAAAAAGTGCCACCATCGAAATAAGCAAGGTGTAGAGTTGTTTACTTTGAAATCCTGGTTGTACGAGGGGCACAGCAAAGGCAGCTATGGAAGCCGTACTGGACCTCTCTCTCCTTTACTGAAATACTGAAAAAGTATCAAGTATCTTCATTAATAAGTGAAAATAACGAACATACTGTAGAGATAAGAGCAAGAATAAAGAGAAAACACAAAAAAATTTATCAGACGCATTTAACTAATATTACCTGTTCAGTGTATGTAATACAGTGTCGAAATGTAAAAGCGATTAGAAAAAATATCTAATAACGAAATCTGAGAATGTCCTGAGTTGACAGAGTTACCAATAATAACTCCAGGAACGAGTGGGAAATGATAAAGAAGTAGAAATAACGGCAAAATAAAAAAAAAATGAACATACTAAGGTACATAATAGGTGGTAAAAGATACAGCATCTTACATCTTATGCTGGGAAATTTTCCCAGCATAAGTTGTAATAAGATTCTTTAAGAACCATTTCTTAAAGAATCAAAGAACATCTTAACACAGTTAAATTAAACTTTAAACATCACAACAATTTTAATAATCATTCCTGCTTGTAAATATTGTGATTCTCACCGCCTTACAGTAGAACATTTACTCGTTGAGTGCAGTTGTTATTATAGACTATATACACTAGCGCATAATATAAACGGTAACCTGAAACACTACAATGCTCTAATTGACTTTTTAAAAGATTGAAGATTATATCGCCCTTGCGCGTGCAAACGGAGATAAGTCCAAAATTGCCATTTTGAGATATAAGCGTTTAAAAATTTTTATGAATTTATAAGCAAATTTTAAATAAAACAACTTAAATCTAATTAAAGATGAATTAAAAACTTTATTTAATTTTACAAACTAAATGAAAATATTACCCTGTAATTTTGAAAATCATTATAACATGAGAGAAAAAAATAGTTATCTCCAAATGCACAAAACTTTAGCGTACATAACCCTATCTGCACTAATCGTCATCTAGTATATCTTCTTCTTCTTCTGAACAGTAGTCTGCAACATCGGTCTGCGTAGGTAAGTTTTTATAGAAATCGTGAAATACGTCATCTATGTATGGTAATAAATCCATTAGATTACTTTTTTTTTCTGAAGAAATTGGATTTGGATATTTACATTTTGGTAGATTTAATGGAGGAGATGAGAAACCTCTTCTAAGAAAATTCATTGTTTTAAATGGTTCATCTTCTTTGTAACTATTTTTATACGAAAACAGTCCAAATTCTTTTTGATATCTAATCCATTTGACATCTTTCCAAATAAAGCGGTTACCGTCATTATCTACCTTTCTTACTTGTAATGAACTCTTTAGTAAACTTGCAAAATCAATAAAATCATTTCTAGTCATTTCTTGAACCTTAAAGGGATATCTTTTACCACACAGTCGAACAAGTTGATACCAGTCTCTTGGATGTTCAATTCGGCTTTGATATTTTTTCTTTTTTTTTTTTCAATTATCGAATGGTCGCTATCACACTCCATTCTTGTGTGTCCTGGAATTAAAAATTTATGATCCAATGTATCGAGACCAGAACTAACCATTAAGACCATAAACATTGCAATGAGATGAGAGTTTTTATTCTGCCCTCCACAAGTGTCAGAATACAATGTTATTTTTCGTACTTCTGGTGGGATTTCTAAGAGCTCTTTATACAAACAAGAAGCTATTTGATTGGCTCCACGACCAGAAATCGTTTCATACCACATACAACAAGTAGTTTTGTTATTACCACAATCATGAATTGTAAGGTTGTACGTCCAGAGTTGCCTTTTATAAAAAGCTATTGAAGTGTTTAGGCTGGGCGTGGGTAAACACTGCTGCAAATCAAAAGCAAAAACTCTCTGGGACTTGTCATCTTGACAAATTATTTTATCTTTTCTTTTTGCTGCGTATGCAGCTTCTGCTTCTTCTTGATGCCGATTTAGTTCTCTTCTTATTTTTTCCTTTTGTTCTTCTTTCTTTTCATTCAC